CAACTGGTCGTCCCCGGATCGCAACGGAGAACAGTGCTCGAAGTGGCGCATGACAGAATAAAGGCTGGCCACCTTGGAGGCAGGAAGACCTCAAAGAAAACACAGGCCGAGTTTTTCTGGCCAGGAATGCACGCCGAAGGCAAGCGCTTTGAGGCCTCCTGTGAGCTGTGACGCCTGCGAGAAAACCAGCCGAAGAGAAAACACTCGGAAGGTGCCGCTTAGAAACGTATCAGTGATTGACACGCCCTCCTCTAGAGTGGCGATTGCTATCGTGGGGCCGCTGTCGCCCCGAGTTCCGACTGGGGAAACCGGTACGTCCTTACGATGGTCGATTACGCGACGCGCTATTCGGACGCCGTCGCCCTGTACAGCATCGAAACAGAGAGAGTTGCCGAAACCCTGGTCGAGATGTTTTCACGGGTTGGGGTGCCAAAGGAGATTTCTAGCGACAGGGGCACCAATTTCACTTTGAAAATCTTGAAAGAAGTGAACCAACTCCTCTCTGTAATCCAGCTGCACACGATTCCGTAGCACCCTATGGCGAACGGCCTGGTGGTGAACTTCAACGGCACCCTGAAGCGAATGCTAAAAAAAGCGTGCCAAGAAAGACCCAATGACTGGGACCGCTACCTGGGGCCGATTCTATTTGCTTATCGCGAAGTTGCACAGGAGAGCTTGGGCTTCTCCCATTTGAGCTGTTGTTCGGACGGAATGTGCGCGACGCTCTGGCCGTTCTGAGGGAGCTCTGGACTCTATAGACTCGCAGCACTCTGATATGAAGTCGACGTATCACTACTCACTGGAACTTTAAAACAGGCTGGAGAAGACATGCGGGTTGGAGCACGAGGAGTTCAGACGGCCAAGCGCTAGGTACGAGCGCTACTACAATGCCAAGTCCAAGAAGCGCTCCCTGCAGCCGGAAGATCGGGCACTGATTTTGCTCCCGACTGAGCACAACAAACTGCTCATGCAGCAGCGACATGTTCCTGCCCAGGTTAACTTGTAACCAAGATGCCAGTGTCCCACTAGAGCGACAGACAGAATCAAACGACAGCTACAAGCCTCAAGCCAAAGTCTTTCGCGACTTGAGAGGCTCTGTAGAATAAAGGAGGCTATGCTCAAACACGAGCATCGTGCACGCCAGTGTATCTTTGGCAGGCTTGCAATCGTTCGTGCTTACTTCACGAGAACTGAACGACTACACGCGTGCCTAAGGTACCATCACGAGCATGCTGCATAGGTTTGAGGCTTGTCGCTGTCTTTTGTTTTTGTCTGTCACTCTAGTGGGACACGGGCAAGAAGGATAAGGTCGACTACGAGGTCGATCTGGGACATGGCACCCGGCTGTTTTGCGTCAATCTCCTGAAGAAGTACGAACTTTGAGAAACAAACACGACCACGACACCCGCTGTCGTAAGCTCGGTCATTGCAATCGAAGACGCCGAAGACGAAGAAGGGCTTCCAGTGATGCTGCTGCGTCGAACGGAGAATGCGGAGAACGTCCACATTTCGGCGGAGTTGAGTGCCGGAAGGAAAGAACAAGTGCGCGAACTCACACGCGCGTACGAAGGCTTCTTCTCTTATGTTCCGGGAAGAATGGACCTGGCGGCGTGTGACCTGCGGCTGACTGATTGCTATTCCACTTAGGTCCGGCGATACCCCCTCCCTTTCGCAGTTTGGCAAATTGTCGAAGACAAGGTTCGGCCTTTGCTGGAAACGGGCATGGTGAAAAAATTCCAATAAGCCTACAACCTCCCCGTGATCGTCGTTAAGAAGCGGGACCAAACTCCCCGCCTCTGCATCGACTTCTGGAAACTAAACGATGTGCTGGTGGCCGATGCGGAGCCGACGCCCCGGGTAGACGAACTACCCGCGTCGGTCGGAAGAAAAAAGGTTCTTCACTAAACATGACTTTGCCAAGGGGTACTGGCAGGCCCCACTATCCGAGGAGTCTGAACAGAATACAAGGTTCTCAACATCAACGAGGCTGTATAAGTTCAAATATATGCCCTTCGGCATTAAACTGCCCCGGCAATCTTCACCAAGGTGATGCGAAAGGTTCTCGAGGGAATCCCTGGGGTGAGCCACTACTTCAACGATGTCTCAATTGCCAGTGACGAGTGGGAGGAACACCTGGCTACTCTGAGAGAGGTGTTTGAGCGAGTACAGAGGGCAGGCCTGACGGTGAAGCCAAGTAAGTGTGAAATTTTCAGTCAAAAAATCACGTTTGTGGGCCGTCGCATCGCCAAGGGGAAGTTTCTCCCGTCCATCCCATCCTCGAGAGACCAAAGATGCGCAGAGTCCAAAGACCAAGCGTCAATTTAGATGTTTCTTGGGTCTGACGGGCTATTATCGTGATTTCATCCACGTTATGCAATCATCCCTAGTCCGCTGTCAAAGTCCACCAAAAGAGGGACGCCCAACAATGTCCCCTGGCGCGAGGAACAGGAGAAAGTGTTCACGGAACTGAAGAAGAAACTCGCGAATCCACCGATTCTGAGGCTGATAAACCTCGATTGTCCGTTTGTGTTCAGCACGGACGCGTCCGACCGAGGTGTCGCAGCCGTGCTCATGCAGGAGCGCGATGCCGTCCTCAACCCAGTGGTGCACGCGCGTCGCAAGCTGCTTCCCAGGGAGATGAGCTCCGCCACAATAAAGCGGGAGGGACTCGCCCTTGCGAGGGGGATTAAGCACTTCAACACGCTTCTTTATGGCCGACCCTTCACGGCGCAGACCGACCACCAGCCGCTTCAGTACAATAATGGGGGAAAGCACCTGAACGGCAGGGTGCTGCGAGGGGAGCCTCCAGCTTCAGGAGTACCAGTTCCGCATATAATCCATAAAAGGTGGAGAGAACATCGGCGCCGACTCTGAGTCGCGCTGAGTAAGCACTGATCGCGGCGCCGGCACTACCGTCGTGTGACGCCTTGCCTCGTACTGTAACTTAAAAACACCTCCATTATGTTTTTTGTGTAGAGTTTTTTTTTTGCGTCGCCTGTGTGCCGTAACAAGGCGCGCAGCTTGGCCAGCCTATTTAGTGCAAGTACGTATCAGTGACCGGGCCATGAGAGTGTCAGACTTACCGCAAGTTTAAGTGCTTTAGTGTCGTATTTTCTTTGGCGATTGTAGTGTTGCTCATTGTGTTACCTACTCTATTTTCTATATTGCCGATAGGTACTATGTTTATTTTGTAGGCTTCCACTCGATATAATTTGAGCCTGTATCATCCTTTTACTTTAGTTATATTCTTATTAGCCCTTTATTAAATGTTTCTATCTCTCTGTTCATCACGTACCTTATCTTGGTCCCCACGCCCCTGGAGCCCACGTACTGTGGGATAGCGGGAGTCTGAACCCCCATTGCAGTTCGTGTCGAGTGCGCTTCCCCTCTCGCTCCGCACCGGACCGTGACATTTGCACTGTGGGCAACCTGTGGATCCAAAGCGTTGGACCACATTGGCCGCTTGCTAAATCATATATGGTCACTTCCGCAGGAGGGGGCCAAGTGCAATTGGCCGCGCGAGCAGCACTCCACCTCTAATAGATGGGCGTCGCAGCCAATGTGCAGGGACTTTGTGGATCGCAACGCGTGCGATAACAGTGAATGAATGACTACGTGTTGTTGAACCATTGTGTTGTGTCATTCTCTGAGATGGGTAGCAATGAGGGAGTACACCATTTTAGACATTGTGAAGTAATGCATAGCCGAGATTAGTTGGTCTCGTCGCTTCCAGGGTGAAACCCGTGATTGGTTCCGAATTCGTGCCGAGCACTGACACAGCGCTCACGCAGAATGCGTGTTGATCCGATTACACTCTGGATGCTGATCAAGCACTGGGATCCAACGCGTGCTCGCAGTGGAGTACCAACTAATGGCGGCAACGCATATTCTATGCATCATTTCGAAATTCCGAAAAGGGGTTAAGCCGGGAACACATTTGCGAAAAACCGAACCGAAAATCGGAGAGAAATCGGAGGCTGCGAAAATCGTGGCATGCGATTTTCGGATGTCGAGCCACATGAGGTGGAATGCGTGGCGCGAAATCGCAATGCACTGCGGTTTTCGTGCTCCGACTTCAGGAGGCTGTTCGGTAGTCTGGCGAACTGGCGTCCCATATTTCGCGCCTCTTTAAAACTTCAGCTATTAAAACCTCGTTGCAAGCCACGCGAGCCTTTCTACCACCACCCTTTGATAGAGACAGAAGGGGTTTTCTACGCTGCGCTGCTTCCGAAGCTGCGTGAGCCGCCATGTTGCGAGCCGATCGTATCTTTTCGTTCCGTCCTGTTCCGGGCTTTCGCTCACCGAGCTCCTCCGCCCCGAATTCGGAGGCGCCGTGCGAAAATATCTGGCGCTGCAGATCTTTCGAACCGCTCCCGATTTTCGGAAAAGGGGAGGAGCCTAGCTGCCGTGCGATTTTCGTGTGCGGTTTTCGCACAAAATTCGGCCTTTTTTCGCAAATGTGTTCCCGGCTTTATTCCTACAGCCTATAAAAGTTCGCATAGTTTCTTCTACTGCATTCTCGTCAAGCCGCCTGATAGGGCAGAAATGTTATGTACGTCACAATTCAATTCTTCTGTCACTGAAACGAAGGAATCGAGACATTTTATTAATAGTTGTTAGGGCCCAATACTTAAACCATATGGGTTCGCATCCTTCTGGTGATCCAAATTAAGATGAACGTTGCGTGATCAGTAGCATTGTTTTTCTTTATTTGTAGTTGCATTATTGAAGGCGATCCGCCACACGCACATCTACTTATTAGTACAAAATAAAAGTATAACAACAATAAATTATTGGCGAAATAAATTGAAATCATAGAACAGTCTGAAAATTCGGACCCTCGAATATCAAACTTTCACCTTTTTCTTAAACTGTTCAGTCTCAACTAAATTCTGCTTTATAAATTTTTTGCAAGACCAAGAGGCACTCTTGGGGAATAAAATCACAACATGTGCACAGGCAACGTAGCTTTTTCTAGCGTAAACTTTTACCGCTTTCAGATTCTTCTCATGATCCGCAGCGCCGTTTCGGGGCCATTTGTAGGACTGTTCCTGTCGGCCCTAATGTTTCCCTGCGTGAACAGCAAGGTACGCATTTTTCAATAAACAATAAATGTATATACACCGCGTTTTCACATAAGATCGAACAACCATGTCCGCTGACCATTTTTAATTTTGCTGAAAAAAAAAACAATATTTAGAACCAATACTCGTTTTTGGTCGTTTTCGGAAAAAAGAATGTTTGTCTCTGCGAAAAAAAAATGTAAGCACTCTGTCAGTCACGTGCGCCTTTTGCGTATCGCGCGATGTTGACATTTTGGGCGGCTTCCCCAAAAAAACTCTCCTGGCTACAGGTCTACCAATATTTACCGACACATTAGGCATAAGAGAAATTGACAAAAGGTATAATTCACCAAATATTAGTGTAAATATTTTGAGAAAAAAAATTGCAAACACGGCACAATGTGCAATACCGCTCTGGAATAAAGAATATTTTCCACCCTATCTGTAAAAGCTAACGTCTTCAAACTTTTCCAGTGCGTTGCCCTGTATATATTTAATCTTTCCGGGAAATATAAGTGTCCTGGTTAGCGGGAGAAATTTACAAGAATTGCTCACACAGGGGCATTTAACTAAAAATGCATTATTTCGAAACTCATTTTAAAAAAGGCCATCTTTAATATTCTTTAAACTCTCCAAAATTAACGTTTATAATATGTACTAACAGCGTCTCCAAAAAAAATGACGAAATATTTGCGTTGCTTCTAAGTTATAAAGCGAGAAACCTGGCCAAATTGGCGCTAACGCGGTTGCCATAAATAAGCCGTGCACATCGTTCTTCACAATTTCATTTTTATTAAGAAGCGTAAGAATGCTACGGGGGGGAGGGGGGGGGGGGGTCAGGAAAAGGCAAACTGACAGCACAGAGGTGGACAGTACTTTTTAAAGGAACATTTCTATTACATTTTCGTACAACCGACTCAAAACTGCCCTAGGGCGGGAGCGATCGAGGTGCGGCACCCTGTAACATGCTTCGCGGTACTTGTTTCAACAGCCGGCGTGTAGCGTCTCCGTCTACGCGACGTAAGCGAAGCAGCCGGAGCGACTTTGCAAACTTTGCGAGCACATCAGCCTACAACCTTGGCGGCAGTCTTGTACACGTTACTAAAAAAAAAGTAATCGATTACAATTACTATTACCCTTGGCTAAAAAGTATACGATTAGATTACTTGATTACTCGACGGCAAAAGTAGTTGGACATTACTTAAAGAAGTAATCGTTTCTTTTCCGATATCTTTATTGTGTGAAGACACATCTTTAGCGCTCCTAACAATGAACTACTTCCAACCTATATTTCACATTTGCACAAGTATTGAAGAAGAAAAACTGGCTCCCTCTTCGTGGTCGTTGCACCTTCACAACGCGGACACAAGCATAGAATTCGTTTGAAGAAAACGTTTAATGATTTGGGCGTTCGCAGTGTGTGTGCGTGGGGGGGGGGGGGGGGCGGAGGGGGTTCTAGATCTTGTTAAGCTTGAGCAAGGGTTGTCGCTCAAAGTTTGCGTCGCTCATTTTATTATTCACATGTAGATGAGCTCGCATGTTATACAAAAGAGCAGCGGCTCCAGTATTTGAAACGGATCATGGTGTAGTATCCATTAGCGGAAGAGATCGCCCCGACCACTTCTCAACTCGAAACATTGCTTGTCACAAAGACCACGAAGGGGAAATGGGGAAATATTTCAACTGCCTTTGTTATATTTTGCATCCGCTTTAGGCATTCTTCGGTTCTGGTTCTCCTACGGGCTGCGAGTAGGTAGCCTAAGCAGGATTTTTTTATTTGTGTATTTCTGTGTGTGTGTGCGTGAGGGGGCTAGCTTGAACGAAGGACTCACAAAGCTACATTCTGCTTCCTCAAGCCCTCAATGGCCTTTGTCACGCACTGTGGCTTCCCTGGGGCTTCCTCCTCCCAGTCCGAGCTCGAAAAAAACAAAAAGGAACTTCCACAAAAACTGTACATAGAAAGCGATTGACCTCGTTTCCTACAGCTCGGCAAAAATCTTTCTTTTTTCCGTTCGAAAAGAAAGACAAAATTTTATTTTTGTCATTTCATAAAAAAAGGCGTGTGCCGGGAGAGGGGGGGGGGGGGGGGGGGTCCCGTGGACAAAATGTAACGGTTACAAGTAATTTTATTAATTCAAAAAGTAATCAGATTACTCGTCTGATTGCTGCCTAATAAAAGTAATCAACTGATTACAAGATTATTCCAAAAAGTAATTGATTACAAGTAATTTGATTACTTGTAATGCGTACGGTAAGAGTCTGCTTGACGGTAACATGATATAGGAAGTAGGGCGCGGCAGAATCTGAACCTGCGCCGCCTGTGAGCACCAATAGATCCGCCGCCGTCGAGAGCCGCACAACCTGTAGAAAGTAAAAGATAATTTAAAAAAAAAGATCCTGATTGCCTGAGATTGTTTGTATATTCGGCTTTTTCAGACAGGATCGAACGATCATATCCGGTCGACATTTTTTTTATTATTAAAAGATATATATATATATATTATATTGGTGATTTCATCTCCGATAGTGCAGGCAAAAAGGGTCGAATTTTTAATTTCGCTGGAAAAAATATATGCTATGGCGTCGTCTCTAAAAACGCAGAAGCCGCAAACCGCAAGCTTCCCGGATTTTTTGTTCTCGATTTACGAATTTTAAAAGAGGCCGCGGCGGAAAGCAGTGTTTCTCACACCCGTCGTGGGTCGGATGTTTCGCTCGATCTCCCGCCGTGGATTTTCAGTCCACATTGTACTAAATTTTTTTCAAGAACTCAGTGAGCACAGGTAAAACTCTCTAATACCATGAAATAGTTTTACGCGCTTTGCTTTTTTTTCTGTATAAATGTCAAAAACGCCCCCTCGGTCGATTGCTGACGAAATTTGACAATTAAATACTGGCGATCTACTTGGGTTACATCAATATTTTTTTATGTCCACAGAGAGCCCAAAACACGCTCTTTATATATGTTATTAATTGACTCAGCTGTATAAAATATTCTTTGCGGTACGTGTACGTTAAATTCATGCTAAAACCAAAAAGAACCAATTTGGAAATCGATTTTCTAAAAAAAAAAGATCTTTTATTTTTTCATTTTTTGTTAAAATGTAGTAAGGATAGTTGTCTACTCAAAAAGAAAGTCGACAAGGTGTTATTTTGTTTGTATGTTTTTTATTTAAGCCATCAATATTCTACAAAAACGTGTTTTTACGCTGGAAACGGACTTGGGAATTGCGCGTCTTCACAAACTTGGAAATATTTATGCCCTTTTTTCAACGTGCCCACATAAAAATAAAATACAATAGTTCCACCCTGTTATATTTATTGATCATTTAAATTTTATTATCGGCAGCAAGCTACATTGGAGGAGATCAAAAGAGAAAGCAAAACTTCTGAACAGACCAGCAGGCGTCGTAAATGTGTAATGTGTAAAAATTGGCAGACGTCTTACTGATTCGGGGCCCGCATTGGCTTATATAAACGTTAACCATGTTGAATATACCTGAGACTGGGGTAGAAAGGAACATAAAAGTCGAAGAAACAAAAAGGGACAGGACGACGTCTCAAACTCAGCTCTCTATGAACGTCCCGCGCTTTCGGAACCAGCAGATGACCACGATCTTTCGCGCTCGTTGTTTTAGATAGGACGGCCCGTGACAGTAAAGCGAGCAGCGCACCCTATGTCACGAGGAGTGAAATGGTACGAACGTGTCTTTGACGCGGCGAACAGTGACGGCCACCCAGGAGTCAGTCAGTAAGAGTATTGCAGAAGGGAAAGCAAAGGAACTGTTTCCTGGGAGGATGAGGACACCACGGCCTTACAATATCGACGGTCAACAACAGTTCTGCCGGCCAAAACAACGCCGGCGCTAACACCGGCGGCGCGGGACAACAATCCCGCAGACGCACACACGAAGCTGGCCGGTTCCGTTAGGGATGTAGGAAAATTTTTAAACCAGCCATCCGTGCACGCGTGAAACGATACCACGTATTTGCCCAAGCTTCGAGCGCCCTATACTTGAAATGGCCGTGCTTTACCTCTCCCCGCGGGGCTCCGATAGCACCGAAGGGTTATCTCTTTTGGAAACAGCAAAGCCCGGAGACTAGTTGGGTCGAAGTCAGCCTCCCAGTCAACTATAACCGTTTGTGAAGAGTGGTCTTCTTTCGAGATGAAAAGTTAGCGCCGGCTGACGTGTCCTTTTGAAAAAGGGAAATAGAACGAGAAAGTTTGAGTAACTACAGTAACCACCTCGAAAGCTCCTCTCCCGACATGAAGCTCGAGTTATGTCTCGGTTACCTTCTCGCGCATCGCTGCTCAAATCTATTCTTCTCTCTGTTCCGCACAGCCACTGCTCCGCACAGCCGTCGTGGGTGTGCGGAACAAAGTGAAGAATAGATTTGAGCATTACCTGGACGCCGTCATCCTGCAAGACTTCAGTGTCGTGGGACTGGAGTCGGCGTCGGTCAGTTACGACTCTTCTTTTTTTTTTTTTTATTTCGCCGCTGAACTTTGTTTCTCGGGTGCGGTTCTGCTAAACGTTTTTTTTTTTTTTTTTTTTCTGAATGTTTTCTTATTATTTGTTTGTTAGCATTGTTTACTTGTTGGGTTTATTTCGTCATGGCGTAGCGGTCGGACGGTGCTGTAGAGAGCGTATTCGCAAGCATTTGGCTGTGTCCCGTTTAGGGAATGCCCGGAGGAGTTGGTTTTTGTTCTTGCCGTGTGCGGCTGAGTTTTTCCGTCTTTATTAATTTTTTTTTTTTTTTTTACCTTTACGTGTCGTCGACTTCTTTGTCTGACTCTCCACCAGGCGTGGATTTATCGCCTTGCCACCGCTCGAACCTAAATCTTTTATTTTTTTTAATGCGATTCTAGTTAAAATCGGAGTTGGGTAAGTTTATTCTATTTATTTATTTTTATTTCCTACCCCTCTCCGTAACAATCTCTCCGTGTGTTTCGGACCATTTCTGTGTCTTCCGTTTTGTGTATTACGGAAGTGAAAGGGCCATTCCCTGGTGAGCTGTGCGATGTG